GTGTGTGTCTGTCTGTGTGTGTGGATGTGTGTTACACAAATGGCCCTAGAGACAGAAGAGAGTTCTTCTAGCTTCAGCACTGTTGGCAATATCAGGGTCACCGGCCTCCCACCAATACTGCAACTCCTCCAGTTGACACAGTGCGACAGCTAGCGCTTCATTTACTTCTACATCTTGATGCAATGCTCAATACAACACTGAGTGGTTAACTGGGAGAACTGGGAATAATCCTGCTGTCAGGTGGCAACTAAATAAAATAACTATGTGGTATGGTGTGAAAAGAGCTCTGCCTGCACAACCCTTACAGAAACACAATAAAACTCAGCTGAATTATTTTTCTTCCTGCTGCTCCTCTCACTCACGCACATCAACACACAGGCTGAACTTGGACAGACTATTCTCAAGCAATAACTACTCTGGCTCCAGCTTTCCCATCGTCATGAGGAAAAATATTTTAAGTGGAGGCTCGGGCTACATCCACAATACTACGTTTTTAAAGTTTTTAAACTAAAACTGACCAAGTTCACCGTTTCAGAAATGATCTCCGTCTATGTTAACACAGCTGAAAACGCATACCACATGATAATGACAAAAATAATAAGACAGAAACGTGACTGCTCTTCACAGAATCCTACTAGATACTGCCATTTTTATTAAAACATTGTCCTTGTCATTGTCAGGGTTCACATGCGTCCTGGAAAACCTGGAAAACCTTACAATTACAATTACCTTACAGAAAGTAGTTTTCCAATCATGTAAACACCTGGAAATGAAAGATTTAAAATGATCAAATATCCGGTAAAAAAATCTTTGTTTTCCTGGAACATTTTAATTGTATTTCAGCCTGTGCTGTGGCCAAATGAATGTCACAGTTAGAGGAAAACTAGTCAATAGACCTTTTTCACAACAGGCATGATGCGGCTGATGCCGTCTGATTTCTTCTGGAGAAGGGTAACAGAAAATGACACACAACTGATACAATTTCCAAAAGTCAACCCCAGATTTGTAAAACTGAAACTGGGCCGGAAGTAGTGTGGATGCAAACTTAACAAAACTGCATAATAAAACAGATACGTAGTAGTGTGGATGTGGCCTTAAAAAAAAGTTCACATGGTGTTCTATTATTTTTTTCAATCTACTGTGTTCAGGATCACGAATGAACTCAAGATATTGTTATAATTTGTTACATTTTTTCATGTAAACACTGTTATGACATATACCATCACTAACAATACTACTATTACCACGAGTACTAATGACTACAGTACAGCCACTGAACAGATCAAATGAGTTCTACAGGTGTCAATATAAGGGCAGTAAAATCTGAATTTCAATCCGCTGCGATTCTCTTAAAAATCAATTGGTCACAAATGGAAGCACAGTTTAGATTGTCAAAATGTTGCTAACTTCCTCTTAAATATTACATAATATTAATGTTGTGGGTGCTAAATTATATAAATGCAGCTACATAATCCTTTTAAGTTCTGAATTCTAAAAAAATGAATTGGAAAAACAAGATGACCCATCTCAAGGGGCTTGTCCTAAATAAGTTGATTTGCATAAAAACTGGGTTAGTTGGTAAAGACCAGACTTGTAGCAGCCATCATTGTCAAGCATTAGATGCCTATCACTAGCCACACATGACTGAAGTCAGTAATCTGGATGGTGAAAGAATCTAAATATACGCATTATACATTAGTTGGTCTGCTTTTAGATGGAAATGTCAGACATATTCATTAGAGAATAAATAATATTCCTGAGGTCCTTAGACACCAGACCTCCTCTGGTAAAGATAATGATGTCTAGAGAGGGCTCACATCAACAGTCCTCATGACGACCAATGGTAATAGCTAACAAGCTAGCTTCCAGCAAGCCAGGGTCCATTAAATTCAGTAAGGAATGTTAAACCTGCCAAAACATCATATGAGCTGACAGATGCTAATGCGTGTCATAGCCAATGCTAGGCGTTACATATACCCGGACAGTGATCCCTTCTGAAGCGTTTTATCTTCTGACCCCTTCAGCTGAATACCAATGGATGTAGCTTTGACAACTCCACATGAATTTACATGAATCAGTCCAGCATCTGTTTTAGCATGCTCTGTTTTTTTAATGAGTGTGGGCTGGAAATTCAGAAATAGAAACAGCTCAGTGGATGTAGCCACCTCTCTGTGTCTCTCTCTGGAAGCTAGGTGCCTCTGTTGTGGCAATCACAGCAAAACAAGTCAAGTATACATGAGGGTTATGCAGTATTTTTGTTATGTAATTGTTTTATTTCTTTTTTGTACCTCAAAATGAAATACATAACATGGAATATAACTCATTTAGGTTGCATTTATTTGATTCTGAAGTTATTTGTTTTGAATTAAGAATCTTTTTTTAGTGTAGAGAAGCGTTTGTACACTCTGAGCTTTTTACATATTGATTCTTTAAATATTCTAACACAAGCATGTTTTTAATTGAATATTCTTCTTCTTTTTTTGGCCTGATAATCAGTCTGAATTGCCGTTTTGTTTCATTTCATTCATCTGTTTCAGTGGCTGAATAAATCAGCCGTGTGGGTGGTGATTCTGAGTTTTGTGACCAGCCTATTGATATGAAATCAAACCCATTACAGAGTGCACATCAAAGGCTGTTTATCTGTACTGCATTAAAAGTTAGGCAGTTTTTACTTGTGCCAACATTAGCAGTGAACGGTTATTCAATTCTCAACAACTACCAGATTTTGTACAGACATTGTTCTCTAGAGAATGGAGATTGACAACTACTGACTTTGGTGACCCCCTGAATTTTTCTCTAGCGCCACGATGAGGTTGACATTTTTGGCTATTGGTGAACTGTCTTGACAACTATTGGATGGATTGGCACAAGGATTTGTACAGGCATTCAAAGTCAAAGTACAGCCTCCCAAAGATGCTAGCATGGCTGTTAATAAGTCTTGTTTCAACTCTTTTCTCCAGTCTTTGCATTAAAAAGATCCTCGTGTAAGAGTTGTTTACTTTGTAAGCGTGTTACTAAGAAAGTCAAGTTTAAAACATCTACAAAAATGTATTGTACCAACATACCTCTATGAGAGGGTGCCAGTGTGCAATGGGTTTCCGTGGGTATGTCAGCATCTCACTCCAGTGGTCTCGCCCCAGACTCTCTGCCTCATTGCCCACCCTGCACACCCCGATCACTTCGTTATGTCCGACCCTGCAGAACAGAAAGAACAACACATGGAGACTCCAAAATGTTGCATCAGTTAATGCACTGTAGATGAGACTGATATAGGTATAGCTGACTAACCGATCATAGTCCATGACAGCTATGAGCAGGCTGATCTGGTCGATGTTCTCAGGAGGAACATCGAACACGATGGCTTCGTTGTACACCGGGTTCAGAGTGTTACGCTTGGTTGACGTCTTCCTCTTCTTTAGCCTCCGGCCATCGCACATCAGGGACACTTTCACATACGGATCTAGAGAAAGGTGTGTTGAGGTCAGTAAGGATGCCAAAATGTATTGACAAGGAAAGCCACAGAACAAAATATTATACTGACTCACAACAAAGCACTATAAAGCTTATGTGTATATTTGACTACACCACCTCTCAGTGGAAACATTGCATTGTCAGTCAGCACCCACCTGAGGCTCCAGTGATGTCCATGGCTTTGAGATTTCTGGCTTTGATCATGGTGATGGTGAGCCTGCCAGCCGTGGGGAGATAGCACAACGAGAACATCAGCTCTCCCAGGTCCACATTGTCCTGAAAAGAAATGTATTACATTTTTATATTAGTATTGTCCATGCTCCTTTTATTGAGATTTTAGAGACAAGCTACGACTGGGACTGGTAGGGGAAGAATGACATCTTAGGTCTGAGTGATCCCCAGGCAAAGCATCACATCAGAAGCATGAATTTCACCAGGGGAAATCTTTCATAACATAATGATACATCAGTTTTGACAATTGACAGTGTATAATTAGTAGACAGATCTTCTGTGAAGTGAAGCCAGTGTCTTAAACCTGGATTCTTCGTATTGCCAGCAGGGGGCAGCTTCATGGACTACAAAATATAAGTCTGATAGAAATTAGTTTTATGGGGAAATTACCCTACTTCTAGATTTATGAGCTCAGTAAACAGTTTCCTAATGAGTTTATGGTCTCTAGTTTTATGTATTCTTCCATACAGCATGATGTT